CTGCTGTACAGGTATTTATTGTTTGGAAATTTTCCACCCTACCCCCTCCCCCCCGCCTCCACTCTCTCTGTCAAAATAATAATGGTCCGTCCCTAATCTATCTGTGAAACGTTTGGCCATGTAGCTGAATTTAAATATAGTAATCAGGCCTTTGGAGGTTGTATTCTGTACTCTTCACTTGGTCTCTTTTCGCGTTGGTATATGGGTTGGTTTCCAATGCCTGGAAACGTCTTTACGTGTTAAGGCGGCATGTTAACAGAATAAGCAGCAGACCAACTCAGTGTACATTTCATTTATTTGGGCTCCCTTGAAAGAGCGTTTTACGATATATATAATACACGAAAATTGCATCATAATAATCATTACAAATTCAGGCAGACCAATAGCAATTTATAAAAATCCATTACTGTCGGTCACTGCTTTGTGCTGTGTGTTTTGATAACAAGTTATATACAACTCGCGTAAAAAGTTGCTAAGCAAAGACAGGTCAATGGCAGTTTTCTGAAATCGACCTCGAATCTGATTGGTTTCTAAATGCGTGGCTGTCATGTTACTTCCGTTTTTTCAACAGTACACCAGTAAATAATTACATTAAAGCTTTATTACCGTACACGCTATCTGCAAATGATAACTCACAAAACTCAGATACAAAAATCTCTTCATGCAAAATTCTCAGTTTTAAAAAATAAGAACATAGACAACACAAACTCATGCCCACATACGTACGCATGATATGGCATCAAAAAAGGACATAGACATCAAGGAGAGATCAAAATTCCAGATCTCAAAGGGCAACTCAATAGGTAACAACTGTGTTTTTAGTGGAAAAAAGGTCATAGTCTTTACTGAATCCAGCTAGAAGAAGGTTTATAGACAGGTGCAGAGACAAAGCGGGACAGAAGCAAGTTAAAAGAGGTCTGCTTTTTGGTAGAATAGCTCTTAGGGAAAAGTTCAGTTTCTTTTTAATAATTTTAAGTGAGAACTGAGTGAAGCTCTATATAAATAATGGCAAATGAAAGTCAAGCTACTATGATTTTGTTGTTTTTGGAAGTGTCTAACCTCAGACCCTAAGTAATGCCCTTTTGAAGAGTACAGCCGGTTTTAGCAAACCGTTGAGCCGCTTTACAAAAGAAGACCTGGAATTCTTTTAAAATTTCTCTTATTGTGATCGTCCAATACTGAAGTTTTCTGAGCAGGTTTCCGAAATTAAAATGTGTGATACTATGTAGAACTAGGAGAAGAACCCTGCAAGCAAAGCCGAATAATAAAGCCTAACTACCATTATGTTGTTCAGAGTCAAAGCAAGCTTTTCTAAGAGCACAGCTTTTGGGCAAAACGTCGAGCTGCTTTGCAGAAAAGGCCCAGGGATTCTTATTCTCTCTTCTCTACTGATAACACACTTTGTCGCGAGAGCAGAGAAGATTAAAGTTATTGACTGGGTTCAGTGAGAGGCCAGTTATCTATATGACCCATTTTAACTTAACACTTGTTGGTAGCTAAGGCTTGATACGGGAATGAAAAATGAACTAATTTCGCGTGCCTATCGAGTATTATCTAGCGTAGGAAATTATTTTTATAATCAGATATCATCATGTAAGGTTTAAAAAAATTCGCAGTTTAATTCTTGAACTGTTCAAACTTTATCCAATACTATATATTATCCACTCATACATATATCTTTTTTAGTCTCAGGTACAATATCAACAGTGTAACTTGAAATGCTTTACACCCCAAAGCCTAGTCATATTCTCTGTAAACATAGAAATAAGAAACATGTTGAACTTTGGACCAATTTTTCCATTAGTCATAGTTTGTTGAGCCGTTTATGGTGGGTCTAATTTAACAGACTCTTAACGTGGGTTGAAGAAACCCGTATGCGCGATCGTTCATATTAATGAAAGCTATTGAGCTGAGAAGGACTTTCATGCGGCAATGCATATTTTGGTGTACCTTTTAAGCCGAGTGATCTGTGCAAGAAAACTTCTGTGTTACCAATTAATGCACTGTTTATTACGCATCCTAATTAACTTTAGGTGTGCGCGGGAGCGATCCCAGTGTGTGACCACTTAAATGGAAGCTGTCGAACAGTACTTTCATTTGGTACTGTTATTTAGGCTGTACAATGTGGTTCTATGTTTAAAGAATGTAGAAAAATCCCTAGTGTGCCGGTAGCCACTCAAGACGGCTATTAGCGAGTAGTACTTTTATCTGGTAACGGTTTTTACGCATCAGAGAACAGAGACTACAAGCTACTATGCCTAGAGTTGAATGCATTTCGACCGTTTTTACTTCTAAACTTTGTAAGCTTGTCCGTAGAGGATGATCTTCAGTTCAGTTGAGTTGATAACGGATTCTGTTATTTTAGACTTTTTCGATTTACTAAAACGGAAAAACCTCAACTATATATAACGTTTTGCGTGGAATCATTTTCCTAGGTAGTCAGATCACCTTTAATTACCGTGGTTCAGTCGTTCAGTCGCGCTGAGCGCGGACTTTGCTTTGCTTGGGATCGGCCCTTGCAGGTTGATTCGGAAGTTGCAATCGGGTTGATATATATCCTTTAGCAGCTAAGCAACAGAGGAACAGTTCCTGTACGTTTGGCACTACTGAAAAGAAAGAAATTTAAGACGAATCACGGTTAAAATACAGTTTATATGCTCATAAATAGCTCATGCATGTCTTTGAGTGTAATTTTTTTTACGGATATCAATTCTAAATACGTCAACACGTGGCATTAGCACTTAACAATAGTACAAGAACAGCTTTCTTTTCAATATTGCACTTCGATTCAATTTTGTGACAGAATTGTGCTAGCAAGTTTTGACTGGAATTTGACTGATTGACAAATTCTCGGAACGCCGCAGAACGCATAAACGAACAAACCTTTACTAAATCGACACTGAACTTAGCGGAGAAAAGATAAGTAATGTTTGCGACTTTAACTGACAAATTTTGTCAGCCGGTCTGAATGATTCGGGTGATGAAGATTGATCGGGAACTTACAAAATGAGAAAACAAGATCATGGTGGTATAAACTTTACATTGCAATGGGTGTCAGATACACAACAATCTTTAGAGAACAGAATGGACGAGCAGGGAATCCCTTTTGCGAACAAGGTCAATAAGGAGGGAGACTTGGCGTGTGGCAGAATTGCGCTTTACAAATATAGTGCCAATTTTGCGTCGCTTAGATAAACGCCATCTGAATGAGAATAAAACAGCCTGTAGTGTAGTAGAGCGGTTGCAATACCCGTGTCATCATGTCAGATCTATCAACCGTAAAAGTTCTGCTGGAACATACAGTGAACAGAAGAGTTTAAAATAGCTTCGCTTAAGCTTCACCTGACTAATAGCATTTCAACGGGATTTCACTGGAAAGCAGAAAAGTTGAACCGTGTGGTCCAACAGGCAGAGACTTCACTGAACCGGTAAAATCATCATAACTAAAACTTCAATAATATTGAGCGACTATAGCCGAGACCAAGACCGTTAACGGAAGGAGGACGGTTAATGATACAGTTTATCACTTGAGACAACCCTGGCGTAGTGATGTGAATATTATTTCTTATGAAGACAGCCAGAAAATCTTGATTAAATAAGTTACCAACGTTAACTGAAGCAGCCAAACAGCACTGGAAAAGAAGACTCTTGGGATAAGTCAGTCAAAGAATAGATATATATTCTACAAGACGATTAAAAAGAAAAAAAAAACACAATTGATTTAAGATATCATCCTGCAATATAGCAAGATGCATCCCATGGACAATAGCATTCAAATATAGTTGAAATCAAGAAAAGAAAACTGAAGAAATATCTTCAAGACGAACGAAAAATGCAGAAAAATGGTATCAGAAATTCGTTAGAAGGTATACTAGACAGATCTGGATGAAAACAGTAAACAAATAGAGCGTTTTGGAAGAATAACTTGGCTTACATCAGAACTGTAGTGGACAGTGTTGTACATGTCAAAAATACGTGTTGATATTACTCTACAAAATCAAACTTTTGCCGGCACTTCCTATGTATTCAGGATATTGAATTATTTCAATTCTCAACGGTTAGCTAGTTGATTGCCTCTAATGGGTACTAAAGAAGACAACAGGTGAAATCCGGCTGTGTTCCTATAGCTAAATGGCAAGTTGATAATCCTAAAATTTTCCATGGATCACTCTTCAAAGTTCAGGTAGCTCGCACGTTTAGACAAGTGTGAGAGTATGGCTATAACATCACCTGTGAGTAGGCTAATAAAGGAAACAAAGTTAGTTTTAACGTTGTGAATTCTTTCGATGTTCAGTATAAATCGCAATGCAAGCCATGAACGTTTATTGAATTACAAGAAATATCGAATAAAGTGCAGGGGCTAACCTTCACTTTCCATGAGCTACTATATCGTTGAGAGCCTTCTTGCCTTAGATCACAATCAAAAAGTCAGTAAAAGCAAAATACGTCAACTCTTTCGATGTTCAGTATATTGCTATGAACGTTTATTGAATTACAAGAAATATCAGTAAGTAAACCAAGTACAGGGGCTAACCTTCAGTTTCCATGAGCTGCCATCGTGGTACCAGAGTGCCCTCTTCGGCCTTAGATCAAAATCAAAAGCTGAGTAAAAGCAAAATAAACACATTAGTAGAGACTAAATGGTAGTGGCCTAGATATAAAAACGTTGAAATGTCAAAGTTCTATTCGGACAGGATAAAAATATAATATATTTTAAGTGAAATTTCTTGCAGCATATTTGTATCGGGGTGATTTTGAAGTGTATACAAATTAGCAGTGCTTGCAATAAAGAAAGGCAAAACAACCAAGAAATAAAGAATTGAGCTATGCAACGAATTTCTAACCGAGTTCTTGGACTGGTGTATATGTTTCCTAGTTATAACTAATCTAATAACTAAAATTGGCCGTTTGGCTTCGGTTTCGAGTAGATCTGCCAAGGTACATAATCGGCCGGTCTAATCCCTCTGACAAGAAAAAAGAAAAACAATACGATTCCTCTTGTTCCAAATACAAAAATAATCAATGTTGCGTGCCTTACCCTCAAAATAGCATCTATTGCGTGTACATCGCCAGCTGATGGCAAATCAACGGAGCACAAACACAAATAAACACGCGATTTAAACATTCCACTTATCTCCGATTTCAAAGAGTGCAAGAGTCCGCATCCCTCTCAGTTCAATCTTTGTGGCCCTTTGGGGCGATTTTACAACCTCAGTAAATTCTTCTTCTGCGAACGCAATTATCATCGTATGTTTTGCGACACTGACGAGCACAGAAGTGGCAAAGGCTGACTGAAAACTTAGAGATTTTCAAAAGTGTTCCTTAGTTTGGATTGCTAGGCGGTGGCCCGGCTTGTTATGACGCTTTTAGTTCAGGTGGGAAGACGTGCCCTGTTATGGAGACGGGACAACACAGAAGCTTCTGGCAGCAGGTTCAATGAACCTGAGGCGTTTCTGAACCTTATCGTCATTGATTTATTTTCCAAGAGCTACGGAAAAGAGTATGGCTAATCTAATAAAATTTCCATAGCATTTCTCGAATTTTACCGTGTAAAATGCGGTTAACGTTTGCTAGTCCAGTGCGCATCGCATATTGTCCGCCATTTTGAAAACTTGGAGCGAAGTAGTATTTGCATAGAAATCCTCTGTCTAATTTACCTTTGTGTAAAATTTAAATTTTGGAACATAGAGTCGATATAAGTTTACTGATCAAAAGTAATTTTTGGTTAGTTTGCGAGAAAGTGAATTACAAGCGTTTCATGCTCGTTTTCCATGCGTTAGTCTGTGTCAAAATTGACGACCTTAGCCAGAGTAAAATTTTTTTTTCCAAGGCAATATCAGCAAAAAAAACTCTTGTTTCACATTGATTTATTTTTGTAATGCGCAGCCTATAACGAGAACTTGGAATAAATAATATAAATAAATTCAAAATTGTTACTGAGGCAAGTACCTCGCTTTGCTCGTTATTAAATACGGCCCTGGAAATCTGATTTCTGTAGTAAAACCGAATCGCGTCACCGCCTTGGTTCCCCCGAGACAATCTTTAATTGGACTGTTTAGTTTACAATCAATGGAAATATCTATTTTTTATTTGTATGAAATGAGTATTGCTTGATGAAAACCGGGTTAAAACCGTACCCC